TACTAATACCATGAAAGCATTTGAATGAGTTGTAAAGACATTTCAATGGGTTATGGATTTTATGGATTTTTCATCAGTTTTTACAAAGAAAAGATCCAGGAGGCAGAGGCTACCAGCTGCAAGGGAAAGGAGTTCATTAAGAAGTCTTATAAAGTGAGTATGTACAGCCCCTATTTACTGTGCTGCAGTTGGTAGAAACTGAAACTATTAGTTATGCAGCAGTATTAATGTCCAACAGTATTTTCTCTATTATTGTTGCACTTTTACAATCAGTTGTATATGATTGTTATTTGATTTTAGTGGATAAAAATGTAATTTAAATGTAACATTGTAAAAACAAAGTAAAGGAATATAGAGTACAAGCAGTTGCTCCTTTTGTTGAAGTCTGTTGTGTGAGTCAAAGAAAAAGAATTGAAAAAATTGCTGTTAAGGCACCACAGGGAACTCTTGAGGTGAGGCCGATGCACCACAGGAGCTCCATGAGTCAGAGGCCCAAAAAGTAAGGACTACGGAGTAACCCCGGGAGTTTGAAGTATGCACTGTGGTCATTACACAAAAATATGATTGGCTATTGGCTGGAAATCTGTCAACAAGTGGTTATTTGTGACATCATTGCTTGTCAATGCTTCAGATAGCTGATGAGCTGCATGAATGTTTAGTGCAGTTTGCGAGAGTTTGTTTGCTAATATCAGCACAAAATGGGGCGCTAGATGCACTTATTGCTGGCAAAGAAGTGCTATCAATTTTGCCAACCAACCTCGGAAAGTGTGTTATTTACCAGGTGTTTTGTTTTGCAAAAATCTCTAAAGCATGTGTCCTTTCAATTTCGCTTCTTAACAGCATCTTAGTGGAACAAGTCCTCAAACTCAATGAACTTGGCCACCCAGCAGTTTAGTTGTCCTCAGTTATAAGAAAAGACTGCAACAATACTATCTGTAGAAAAATTGAAAGCACACACACAGCAAAAGCCACTCTACAATGGTTCCTCGACTGGCCTGCCCTTCCTAATAATTCTCTTCATGATAGTCATCCTTACTGAAACATTTTTCAGATTTCTAGTTTAATGTGGGCCTCTAAATTTGAAATGGTTTCATTTCTGTGATCACTGGTGTGTTGCAATGACCTAAAGATTGACTGGTAATTAAGAAAACAAATCCCATTGGTTACATCTAATTGTGGGTCAAAATCTTACCTCACTCATGGGACTCCTATGGCACATCAGAGTCACTTCAAGAGTTTCCTGCAGCATGCTGACATCAACTTTTTTTTTTCGCTGTTATTATTTGGACTGGCTTGACAGTCTTCACCGAAAAGAGGGACTTCTTGTAGTCTTAAAGAATTACAACACAAAAAATTGATGGCCTGAGCAGTACCAAAATGTCCTCCAAAAAGTACTATAATTGTGACTTTTAAGTTTATTTTAATTCTATTATTATCACAAAGTCGTGAAAGTGTCATATGGTTTGTATATTGATTTTGCATTATAAATCTGTTGCACTTAGTAATTAATGATTATTGAAACACATAATCATTAGCATATTTAGGTTTATTGTATTTGGGTTCTGTCTATATTTTTTGTCTTTTTTAAACTGGATTATTGAGACTTTGATTGTTTATTTCTCTAGTTTTATGAAGTCAGTTGTTGGAAAGGATCTAACAAAAGTAACAATGCCAGTTCATTTCAATGAGCCACTGTCATTTCTACAAGTAAGAGTATAATGTCTGAAGTAAATGTGCCGTAATGACCAAGCATGGGGTTAAGATGGCTGGATATTGCCCAAATTCTTTTTCTTTTGGCATTTTTATGAACTGACAGAGACAATATCTCGCTTTTTTGTAGCACAATGAACTCAAGAAAGTCTGATGTTTTTTGTTCTTACTGTCTTCTGCTTGTTGTGAGTGTTGTTTTTGAAATAATTGTCCATTGGTGAAATTTGCAATTCCCCTCCATATTTTGGTATGCAGGATGAAAGGCCAATCAGGCCAATCAGAACATAGGTTTCACTTCATATTGCCCACTGGCCATGCCAGCTGTATAATAAGGTGAAATGATTGCTTGGAAAGGTTCCAAATCCTTGGCTGTATATTGGGTTTAAATAACTTCCTGGTTTTCTCCCAACCTCTCCTTTGTTTAGTTGAGGGCACATGTATGTATACATAAAAAAGTCCACCAAAACATTTGAATAGCTTTTTGTGTCTTGTGAAGTTTTGCTGGTTGTTAAAATTTTTCCGTTCCATTCTGAATTTAAAAATTTAACATTGCCATTTTGAAAGTAATATTTTACACCAAGAATGTCTCAGAGAAAATAATATTACATTTTATGAAAAATTGGAAAGCCAAAAGAATACATCTGATCTGCCATTTAAAGTTTGCTATGAGACATCCAAAGTCTTAAGCAATAGTTTTGAAATAAAGAATGCCTTCTAGAAGATTTTATTATAGAACTAAAATGCAAAAATTACCTTAATTTGAAAATGTGAACTGCTCATTTTGTTGTAAATTTTTTTGTCTTTGCTTGAGCTCCTTCAATGACATCATCCAGCTGACAATCATCAAGACAGGCAGAGCACTGAAGTTCTTTTTGTTTTGTTTGATTTTTCCTTGGGCTCAAGAAGGAGGAATAGCCAAACTCCAACTCAATTATTAGTACACTTTCTACTTACATGTACATTGTATATGCAATTTTTGTAGTAAGTGTGAAATGGCTACCAAATTAACAGCTCCCAGTAATAGGATCCAGAAGATGCAAATATCTTCTCCAAAATGTTGAGTATGTGTAGATAAGAGAAAAACAGATAAACTCTTTACTGTTCCTGCAATTTATATAGCATTTCTGCCTTCCCAGTTTGCACCTTCTTGCAGGTTTCCATTCATTTCTTTTTTAAGGCATTCTTTTGTGCTGTACGTGTACTACATATACAGCACAAAAGCTGTTATTCAGAAGTAATCATTTGCTTCTGTCCTCCCAGTAAAAAAATTCACTTTTTAAAACAAGACTGAGTTAAGGGTTAAATTGATTCAAATATTTTGAAAACAAAAGGACTTAGAATGGAAAATCAGGGATGGACATTGAATGAATCAGTCAATTTATCATCTCTGTCAAAACTAAGAAGGGAAACAAACAATTTTATGAAAATACCGATGGCTAGTTTATTTCATCCTTCTCACACATTGGTAACAGGACTTTGTGTCTTCAAATTGTGTCTGTAATCATACACTTACTTGTCGCAGTTGTCCAATTTTGTCAATTAGACTTATGATTTCCACTAGAAATCATTCATAGGATCTGAGATGAACCGCAGGGACAAGGAAGATGTTTCTGACTGGGTTATTGAGTAATGATAGCAAATAATCATGATCAGAAGCTGTCATTGTTCTTTGCCATTACAGAGTCAATTTGTAAATAATTACATTTAAATTTTTGTACAAGAGAAAGGTATGCATGCCTATGAACAAAGACAACTGCCTTGTTTGAAATACTGTTTGGCTCATGAAGAGACTTGTTGACCTTGAATAAATAATTACAGTAATTATAATTTTTATAATGCATATGCTAATGATAATAATAATAATAATAATAATAATAATGATAATAATAATAACAGTGGTAATGATAATAAAGACATTTAAGCCCTTTACACTTCAAGCTAACTTTGGTCACTAATGTACTGTGATCTAAAAATAATTTATGTCATGCCAGTGAACATGTACAGCCAGTAGCAAGCAGCTAGAATATTTAGAAAATGTTAAATAAATAATGTTTTTTCTTGGTTTTCTGTCAAATGGTCCATCTCTAATTCTTATAGAGACTGGCAGAAGATTTAGAGTATGCTGATGTTTTAAACAGAGCATCATGTAAGTCAAGTTGATTATTTGGAGCTCCTGCTGTAGATTAATGGTTTCCAAACAGGGTTTCATGAAAAGTAAGCTAACTGATGTCTTAAGAATTAACTTTGGTCTAAATATTTAACTATTCAATGCTTGCAATACGTTTGTTTGCCTGCAAGGAAATATAGATTCGGGTAACCTCAAATTTTGGAAAGTGTAAGAATTTTTGTTTTACAGTGTATTGAGGGATAGCCATGAAAATTTTGTTGAATCTGTGATTGTGATTGCAAAGGGGATCTTACTTGCTCTTTTAAGATTTTTTAAGCATTCATAGACCCTAGTGCACCACTAGTTACCAATATTTTGAATAAATGTATGTTGATCATGTATAACAACACTTGTTTGATGCAATTCTGTTTATATTGCAAGAAACAAAGAAGAGACGCTTGCATGAAATAGTGTACATTGTACTGTGTCCAATGTGTTTTGTTCTTACTGTACTTTTAATAAAGTAGTGTTGGACATCCTTTTATTTCATTATTTCTCTTGGAATCTGGATTGAATATTATTTGATAAATGTCTGAAGGAGATCTGTCTGAAGAACATGTTCCTTAGCACGTGACCATAATCATCTGTACAAATGATCCTTTTTGAAATTGATGGTGTTTTGACAAAATTTCCTTTTATACTTATTTCAGACTATTTTGCTAGGATAGGATTATGAAACACACTTGATTTCATTTTATCCCCTTAAAAACTGCAGCATGCACATAAAGATTAAATTTATTTAAATTTGAAACATTGAGTGTAGTGTAGAGTTATAAATGCACCCTCAGCAAGGGTTATCCTGCTTTTTTTCTATCTACAGTTTGCAAAAATTCATTGGTACTGCTGGCTCATGTGGCAGCCTTTGCCAGTTCAACATATTCTACAGTACTGGGAAGGTAAACTGAGTTTGTAGATATAGAACATGTGAAAGTTTCTCAAACCTGTAACAAAACAGTTTGCATTTCACCATTCATCAAAACTATCAAAACATATTCTCAAAATAATGTGATTAGTTATTACTAGCCCCATTTGAGCACTAATGTACGGAAGCCGAAAAGGGACAATCCAAAAATATTTTTCAAATCCCGAAAAATATTTCAAATCACAATATTTATTTTAAACTCACTGTCAAAAAGTTTGACAAATCCAAAGATATTTTGCAAATCCAAAAAAATATTTTGAAATCCAAAAAAATTTTTTCAAAATCCAAAAATATTTTGCAAATCCAAAAAAAT